GGGACCCACCATGTAGTGACATGACGTGCAAGAGTTGCAGCGGCTGCTCCAACTCACTGCTCACTCTATTCTGTGAGCAGAAACAGAACTTGCTGGAATGCATGGTGTAACTTTTTCATCAGAATTCTGACTTCTGTTCTTTTGTGCTTTCACTTGACTAACAAGAATTTCCAGAAAATTAACATTTGAACTTAATGGTAATTCTCACCTGACCTTTCCCCATACTAACATTGGGTTTCCTGGTGTGGCATGTTTTCTGAGTGTTCCTACTTTAAAACATGGAACATACAGGTGATTTGGGAAGTGTAAACAGACCTGAGAAAACGAGCCTGTTTCAGAGCAACAGTGTCACAGCGAGTACTTATGGAAGCTTATCAAAACTAACCCTGCTGTCCTTTTTATATTTTTTAATTAATGATATTTTTGTTTTAATTAATGGTAAAATAGTTTATGGGTTTGGAAACTTGCATGACAATATTTGAGCCCCCTCAGACATACTTGCAGTTTTGAGAGTCATCCTACAAAAGTGACTATAAAACTCTAGAGGGGTAGCTGAGCAGGCACCAGGGCTGTCATCAGTGTGGTTGTGACACTTCAAAACCGTGACAAGTTGAATTCCTTGTAACATAGTAGTTGTCTGCTCTTTGTCTGTGTGTTCAAGAGGACTGCAAAGTCCCTTCTCTTGTGATTACTAAGACTTTTCCTTAAGAGTTTAGCTGGATCTCTGGGGGAGTGGGGAGGCCACCATCCTTACCAGCGGAACCAGATTTCCACCTCCTGCTTCCCTGAAAGGCAGGATCACCTACTTACTGTATTCTTCATTATTATATTACATAGTATAATGAGACAATATCAAAAGTAAAATGTAATGACAATACATATTAACATTCTTGTAGAAGTGGTTATAGAAGCCAATGCCTCATTTCTACATTTTGTCATTAGATATTATCATCTAACGTTTCAGTGTATCCTTACAGAAATAAAGCAGCATAGAAAGAACTTGCCTCCTGTCTTTCAATTCTGCGCAGAGGAAGCACTACAGCCTGATAGTACTAAACTGGAAATCCAAGTAACTTCTTCTGAGAGATTTTCCTCAGCTCAGTGCAATTACTCTGAACATAAAGATTATAAACAAGCCTATAATGCCACTTTGATCTAGTTAAAAAATAAAACCTAGTGACCACTCTGACCCCAAAATAGCATGCCCCAGGTTTGCATCTCTTAAAAAGGATGAGTTGATTCTATTTGGCCAGGGTGGTGTGAGTGGGGTGGGGAGGCAATCCCAGATGAGGCATGTCACTGAGAAGTAATCATGGTCCCTGATTGTTTCAGAAGGATCTTCCTCTTGGCTCCTTTCTTCTTGGGCCCTCTGGAGGCCATGATCCATGCTGAGCACTACTGTAGCCCAACTACATAGTCTCTGCCCTCTACTTTAATGAGACCCAGTTTCCTCCATGAGGTTTGGGCCCATGTCTCTTGATAGGACTGAGGGGTTAGAAGAAGTGTGGGCAGAGGAAGAGGCTGGTCCAGCATACAGCTCCCAAGTTGCTATAGCTTTCAGATCACCACACATTGACATAAGTGGTTCACACATCCCACCCACACCCTTGTGGTGGGTTCTGTATAGTTCAGGAGTCCCAGGGCATCAGAAAGCTACTGTGCCTGCCTTCTGGCATGGAAGGGTCTAACAGGCCCTAAGGGCATCTCCTCATTGCACTTCAGCTAACAGGCAGAGTTGGAGGGATGAGAGGGTGTTAGGTTTTGATGGGCTCCATGACTAGGGCAGAATCCCTTAGTAGCTAACATTTACCATCTCAGAAGAGGATAGAAACCTGTCAAAAACCACTGGGGTTTTCGTTTTGGTTTTTGGTGCTAGAGATTGAACATGGGCCTTGCACAACCATGAATGTTTTTAAGAACATGGAACACATCCCCTTGTGTTTCTCTAGATCAAATTTGATGTCAAAACCTTTAAACCAACAGAGTCTGTCCAGTCTTCTGGGGACCCCAGGGAGCAGGGGTGGTGGATTAGGGAGTAGAGAGCAGCTGTTCTGCTTCTCAAGGGAGCAGGTTCTTGAAACTACAACAAGGAAAAAACAAAAAACCCAAAGGAGATGGGCCTGGGACAGACAAGCCACTCCTTTCCCTGAATACTTGGAACCTGGCTTATGCCCTTTTCCCCAGGAGAGCCGATGACAGCACCCCAGTAATCTCCACTTCTGCAAGCTCCACTTGGGCCAGGCAATGGGCCTTTCCACACCCAAGCTCACCCTCCTTTACCCAGAACTCCTGTCCTTCTGGAAACTGGCACTCACCTTGCTGGTTCCTTGGCCTCTATAGTCTGCTCATTGCTCTAAACTCCTCTGTTTTCCTATCCTTACTTCCCCTCCAAATCTGTCCTAGATTGCTCCCAGCACCTCAATCATTCTTTTCTTGCCTCCATTCTGTTACCTTCACCCCCAGTCCACAAAACCTGAATTAGTGGCCTGAGTTCTACTGAGGAACAGCCACATTGCCTAACATTCCTAATACAGCCACTCCACTACTTGGCCACATTCCCAACAGATTGCCCCCACCACCTTCTTCACCTAAGACATGGAGGCCTATCAAGGGTCTGTCTTCAGCAATTGCTCAGCACTTAGTACTTAAACATCTTCAGAATACCTCATACATTTTGGATCTGCTCCTCCAGCCCATTCTAGGCCCATGGTTTCCATTTTCTAGATGAGAAAATGGAGGTTCAGATGGGTTGAGAAGCTTGCCTGACAAGCCACACCCTCTAGTTTATCAATGGTGATACTGCATTGTCATAAAAAGGAATGCATCACAATAAGGAAACTACCATGCACTATGCTCAATACTTTAGAAGGCAATTGTGTGTGTTGAAAAAGCAACAACTGTAAGGCTCAGGAGGAATGAGGGTAAAATTCTACTTACCACGTTGTCAATAAAGAGGCATTTTCATCCTCAAAGGGGATCAGAATATCAAAACAGGCCAACTACGGCTAATAGGATGGTGTCGGGAGCCAGGCTGCCTGTTCAAACCTTGGCTGCTCTGCCATCTTTTAGCGATGAGACCTTTGGCAGTTCCCTAACCTCTCTGGCTTGTTTTTTTTTTTTTTCATCTTTAAAATGAGACTCCTACTTTGCCAAATCACATGCAGATGACATGATTATAAGTGCTTAATGAGTGGGGTGACTGGCATCCAGTAAATGTAATCAATGTTAGCAAAAATTTTCTCCCCAGCACCAAAGACACTGCTCTGGTGTCCCTGACCTACCCTGTAAGCCAAAAGACAATTTTACTCCCATAGCAGTAGGGAGGTGTCTTCAGAGTTGGAGAGACTTAAATTCAAATACCAGCTCTTCCTCTTTCTAGTTGTGCAACCTGGAACAAATGCAACCTGTATAAATGGCAATGTTCTATAAGTAAAAATGAATACCACACCTCATAGGGTTGTTGTGAGGATTTAAAATGATGTCTCTAAAGAGCTGGCATATGGTACATGAGAGCTGACCACCATTATACCACAGAATTGGAGAAGTAGAGGAGCAGCTAGGACCCATCTGGAAACACTAACTGGACTGCTGGGAAGGGAGATGTTCTGCTTAAACAAACCAGGCCAGGGGAGGGGCACTAAAAGTAACAACAGGGAATTGACCCCTGATAAGATTAAGTGATGGACAGTTTGCCTTCCACCTCTGGCTCCTTGGCAGTAACTCCTGTTTCATATCTCCTGATGTTCTGGCCCCGACCAGAATGAGTGGCATTTAGCAATGTCAGAATTACAGAACCAAAAGGGCCCAGAGCCCCCTTCATTTGATAGACAAGGAACAGGGCTCAGAGAGGAGAGGCAGTGTGCACAAAGTCACACACACACAAATCCTTGTGGCTAGAATTCAGGTCTTCAGGGTACTGTGGAGCACTGACAGGATCCCATATTGCACTGCTGGGTTTTCTAGGCACTGAAGCTGTGTAAAGTTTCATTCTACATGCAGTGCCCATGAAAACAGTGATGTAAGAAATGTGCTCATCTGTAAAACCTGGTAGTGGCCAGAGATCTGTGTCTCAGGGAGAGGGGACCTAAAAGCTATAGAGGGAGGGAAACATGAGGGGATAAGCAGGGAGAAGGCTAGGGATTCTGTTACCTTGGAGTTGTAAACAGAACACCCTGGTTCAGCAGTTCCAACAGATGAAGCAACAGTACCTGGTACCTGACTTGGCAGTGAAGAACTCCTCAGATAAATACATGGAGGTGGTACCTTTGGCAGGAATGGGATGTGTCTAGCTTGTGTTGATTCAAATGTACATAGAATGCTCTTGAAAGGTCAATGGAGAATGGCTACATAACTGCCAGACCCCAAATACCTGGGATAACAAGTACCTGGCCTTTTCAAAAAACTTAGTGGAGGAAAGCAAGTTCATTAAACAGCCGGATGCGGCACATGCCTGTAATCCCAGTGGCTCAGGAGGCTGAGGCAGGAGGATCATGAGTTCAAAGTCAGCCTCAGCAAAAGTGAGGCACTGAGCAACTCAGTGAGACTCTGTCTCTAAATAAAATACAAAATAGGGCTGGGGATGTGGCTCAGTGGTCGAGTGCCCCTAAGCTCAATCCCTGGTTACCTCTCCCCCAAAAAAGGTTCAAACTAAACATCTGTGGGTATATCAGAATATTTGTTTTATCATTCACAGTTAACAGTAATGTAATGAAGAAATGTACATATAAAATAGCACACAAACTGCCTGAGTATAGACTTTAAAAAACAAGCAAGTATCGCCATGTGTGGTGGCACAAACCTATAATCCCAAGGGTTTCGGAGGTTGAGGCAAGAGGATTGTGAGTTCAAAGCCAGCCTCAGGAACTTAGTGAGGCCCTAAGCAACTCAGTGAGACCCTGTCTCTAAATAAAAAAATACTGGGAATGTGGTTCAGTGGTTAAGTAAGTGCCCCTGGTTCCCTGGGTTCAATCCTCAGTACCAAAAATCAATCAATCAATCAATCAATCAAACAAACAAAAGTGAGCAAAAGAAAGAATAAAGAAATTAAGAAATGTAGAGATAGATTTCCTCTTCTGAGTCAAGCACTGAATTCAAGGATTCAATATTTAAAAGGCCAGGGGAATAGATATCTTTTCTGAAATGTTCTGGAACTAGATAGTGGGGACACCTACACAACCTTGTGAACATACACTTCAATTACAACAATGACTTTTCGTTGGATGTAGTGATATGCACCTGCTGCCCCAGCTACTCAGGAGGCTGAGGACTGTTTGAGCCCAGGAGTTTGAGGCCAGCCTGAGCAACACAGGGAGACCCCATCTCAAAGAGAAAGAAAAGAAAATGGTGACTGTTAGATTATGATTTTTACAATAAAGAGATTTTAACAATGGGCCTTGATAATAAGTGCAAGCCATCACAGGAAGAGCAACAAGCAGCATCCTAAGAGTTGTAGGAAGAAGTTGGAAGAAGAGTTGGAAGAAGAGTTCTTACTGTCCTAGAAGTGTAACTCTGTCTAATCACCAACTAGATGAAGAGGGAAAGCAGAAGATCTGATTACTAGTTCTTGACCTTACTGGTTCCTTGTGTTCATAGTTTAGTTAACAACTTGGTATGACCAGTACCAGTACATTTTTGCCATTATAATGAAAACAAAAATTGCTTTATCTGTGAAGTTTATTTCATACAGATCAGAGTTACAGGGAACGGTAACAATGTTTCGGCGTGTGACATTTGTGCAGAAAAATAGCATTTCATATTTTAAGATGATTGTCTCTGCCTTTTATACAAAAAAAGCTAGTGTATAAAAATAGTTTTAAACCTAAGGCATCCTGCCTAATCTATAACAAAGGTACAGTACTCTGTGTAGCAAAGAACCAGGCAATCAGAAAGAATCATTACCTTCGTTGACTAATCCAAGACTGGTGGCCAAAAGGAACACAGGCCCGCTTCAAACTATTTGTGATTCAACACTAAAAGCTCATTACCATTAGGACAAGGAATCTGCATTCAAGTTTTATGGAATCATATAGCCTATGTGTGTACGTATGTACGTATGTGTACGTACATCTGTGTGCCTATCACGGGAACTGAAGAATAACACTGCTGCTGTCCTCACCTGCAGCCAGTGCCTAGAGAAAGGCAAGTATATTTTGGTTATATATCCCAAGCCTATACTGATGGGCAGAACTAGGGAGCACAAACAGAAAAAGATGATAAATATTCAACATTTAGAGGAATTAAACATACCCCATGAGACAATGGCCAATTACTGCTTTATGGACACAACAAATAAAACCCATCTTTTGGTAGATAAGCCCCAATATGTACTTCAAAGGAAACACTGACAGGAGTGTGAGAGATGCTGAATGCTCCAAGTTTATGCTTTCCAAGACTGCTAGCATTTGTGGGTATCAATGCCGGGCACTGACAATAGAAGAACTGAAATACGCATATATTATGCTCAAATTTTACTATATCATGCAGCCTTTGGCATTTGTATATTAGAGACAATTTTGCCAGCAATCCTGAGTGCCTCACATCTTCTATCAAGTTCTCCACAAAATCAAATTTTCTAGTAGTTAAATTGATGTCATTGTCAAACAAGAATCATTAAGACTTCTAATATATGCTGAAAGAACATCGTTCCTTTAATAGAGTTCTTTTAGAAACTCAATAGTTATCACCTAATGAAAGCACCCTGGATATACACACTCCAACACACATGGAGATACACACACAAAAGACAATCATGATTTTTTAAGGGAAACCAAAGCATTTCTTTTTAACTCAGAACTCTCACAAGAGAAAAAAAATGATATGAACACCTTCCAAGACAGATGTCAGGGTGACCTTCGGATGTATCCTTTCTTTTTTGTTTTAATGGTCATTTCCTTTGCCAGGTTCAAGTATGAAGCAGGCAAATTCTGAGGCATAGGCCTGGGAGTTATCCAGAGTGGAGGACAGATCAATCTTCTAGGCTGTACGAGGTTTATGTATCTAAGCAGAGGGAAAAGGAAAGAAAGACCAGTAGAGAAGATGCTGGTGGTCTCATGGCAACTTGTCCCTGGCCTCCTTTTGGGGTGGGCCTAGGACCCCCTAGACTGACACACTGGGTCCCTTAAAATGTTCCCCTCTTCCTAGATCCCCAAAGGAGCCCACACTGCCTCACTTGATTTCTAAGAGAGCTTCTCAAGAGAAACAATGGTCTTTTGGGTCTTTTGGTTTTGGAAACAGAGGATGAGGGACTAATTCCAAAGACCTTCCTGGACCTCTGACCTAAAGGAAAATTATGTGCTTGTCAAGTTGCTGGTGGATCAAGAGCTCTGAGGAATCTGGATCTTGAAAAGAACTTAGTTTTTTGTATCTGACAGGAAATGCAGGACATAAAAATTAGAAGCAAGCCATCTACTCTCTCAAAACTAACTTAATGGAAGACTCTTCTAAAGCATTCCTGCAGACTCAACACCATCTTCTTCCTCTCCTCCAAAAAATGCCCTACTGCTAGAAGTAGGAGAGGGTTCAAGGTCAACTGCCTTTGGAGCAAAGCAGAGATGGGATGAGGCCTTACTGGAATTAGCAGGCACAGATTGGCTTTTTTTCTTATGGTCTGTAGGCATCTGAGGATTTGGGTGGGATGTCACAGAATCCTTCAAATTTTGTTTGTGGATATCAGGGGTGACATTTGTGTCTTGTGATTCAGTGTTGTGACTACTACTGTCATTTTTGCCATAAGTCTGCTCCTGAGGTGTGCTGACATTCGGGATGGATTGGGTGGTGGTGCTGAGTTCCTTTGCTTTTCCAGTTTTTGCTGTGCGTGTAGATGATCTTTTGGTAGATGACCTGGAGAGAGATGTTTTGGTTAAGATCCAGATAGTACCAGGCCCAGTGGCACACCCCTATAGTCCCAGCAGCTTAGGAAGGCTGAGGCCTTTGTGAGTTCAAAGCCAGCCTCAGCAACTTAGTGAGGCCTTAAGCAACTCCGCAAAACCCTGTCTCTAAATAAAATATTAAAAAGGGCTGGGGATATGGGTCAGTGGTTAAGTGCTCTTGGGTTCAATCCCTGGTACAAACAAACCAAAACAAGGTCCAGATAGTTCCAAAATCAAGCCTGTACCCTGAAAAAAGCATTATTTTTCAGTTAACTTCTAAACGATGCTTGGGTATTAATGAACTTCCTGAATCCTAGCATGGGAAAGCTGGAAGGGACCAGGGGATCACACACTGCTTTTCAAATTGCATTCTTGAAAGCCCTACAGTGCCACAGAGGTACCAGGACATAGGGAGCAGATAAACACATAGGAACCCAGTCCCCCTCCTTCAAGTTGGTCAAGGGAAATGTCCACTATGGCACAGTTAGAGAAGCAGAGCAGGATTTGTAACTCTAGAGCTCTTTTCAACTGTTTCTGAGCCTCTTAGCAGCCTTGTGTTTCCACAGGCCCTTATAGCTTAAACATCTTTTCAGGTAATCACCCAACTACTATTCCTTTCCAAGAAACTAACCTCTAACTTGGTTCCCCATCTAAAAAATGAGGATATTATTACCAATCTCACAAGTACTGTGAGAATTAAAGCAGGCCATGTAAAAGGCCTGGTTTACAACAGGCATTCAATAAATGGCTCCTTCTCTAATTTTATGAAACAACAGTCATTATGTAAAGAAAAGCAGTTTGGGCTCTGCCCTTTAGCAGTGGGATGTTGAAGAAATCCCCTTAGCTCACTGCACCTCAGTTTGGTTGTCTAATCAGGAGGAGGCTCTTTACCAAGCAAGGCTATAGTGGGGCTTAGCTTATTTCTGTAAAGTTGAGTGTTTGGCATGTGCAAACTAAGAGCTCAAGAAATAATATTGCTTGGCATTCTAAGAAGGTCAATCATAATCCCCCCCAAGTTTATTCAGATAAATAAGATGCAGAGTGACTTACTTTAAGCCTTTTGCTTGAGTCGAAGACTCTTTCAGGCTTTTTTGCCTAAAAGGTTTCAAATCACCATTAAAATATGATTTCTTTTCTTTATCGGTCTCACCAGTTGTGGCTTGTAAAAACACCAGTTTCTGAGGCATTTTCTTGGCATTTTTATAAGGCATTTTGGGCTTGTTAGGTGACTCTCTGCCATTTCCATTAGCTAGGGAAGAGAAAGGAACAAAATTAAAACTGGAGTTTCAAACAACACAAGAAAAAGAAAAAGCTGCAATCCTGAGGAGATGCGGGTGCCTGACACAGAGGGCATCAGGCAGGTAACACTCTGGGGAGCCAGGCCTACCACCCCCAGCTGCTTGTGGTGCTTGAGCTACAGTCAGCGCTGCCCAGTACCTGCACTCACCCTGCCCTCCATGCACAAAGGGGCCACCTTTAAGGAACCTGTCCTGTCTCCTGAAAAACTGGTGGACCAGTGGGTAGGGCTACTTCTTGCTACTCACACCTGGCATTCATCTAGAACAGGCTGGTCCTGAGTTTGTCTTGCCCCCAAATGCTACTTTTCACACTGGACTCTCCTGTGGGCTCTCCTCCTTCCAGCCGACCCAAAGCTTCTGTCCTAATGCCATACACTGGCTGCACTCTCAACTGACTTCTTTGAACCCAGTCCTTGTGTGATAGTAACCACTCTCTGTTCAGGTGTCTATCTCCCCATGGCTTTTCAGTACCTTGAGAATACCCTGCTTACCTGTTCAATGTCTGCTTTCAGGATAAATATGGATCAATAGTGTTTTCTCAAATGCCCATTACTATGAAGTATTTCCTACTTGGAGGGAGTCACCAATATATTTCAAGAGGGTATGAGCATCATGACACAATTTCAATTTTTCCTTATAAGTTAGAAAGTTGAATCCCACCTAGAGTTAATCATGGCTGCCTTCTGAGGCTCTGAGCTATGTCAGCAGTCCTCATATTCTACTGAGGAAGAGCTACCACCTACAATCTAATAGCATAAAGTATAAAATTAAGAAGCAGTGGCAAATATTTATTGACAGTTTACTACATGTTAGCTGCTATTCTTAGCATTACTCAGATTTATCTCACTGAAATCTCATGCCCAACCCTGGTAAAGAGACATTATCTCTCCCTCTTGCAGATGGTAAAGTTGGGCACAGAGAGGTTAAATGACTTGCCCAAGGCCACAAAGCTCAGATGTGAAGGAGCCCTTAAATATAAACCAAGGCAGTCCAGCTCCTTCGTGGCAACTAATGGAACATTAGGCACAAACAAACCTGATGGGAACATTTTATCAAGGGAGTCCTCATCACTTTCTGTCTCATCCTCATCATCAGCTTCATCCTCTTCAGATGTATTACTGCCAGATATTTCTGAGGCCTATGGTCAAAAAAGAAAATCAATATTATATCTAATATTCAATCATTCTGGCTTAGAATTTCAGAGAATTTAGATATCAAGACTGGATTGATGGCTAACTTTCAATACTTCAACTACAAGATAAAAAAAAAAATTCTAACAACATTAAGTGGTCCAAAGAATGGGGACAGGGGCAGGTTGCCCTTGTTGTGTCTTTCAGCTAGAGAAAGACCCTCAAGAATTAAAGATTTCCCTGAGCAAGAACAGACACTACAGCCTTGAACTGGTATTCATCATCTCTGCTTAGAATTTTACTAAAGACAGGGTGGCTTAATAGTATAAACGACTATAACTGAACAATTGTAAAAAGGCAAAATATAAGTTTTGTAACACAGGATATAAAGAGCAGCACAGAATCTAGGAAAAAGGCACATGCTCAATCAAAAGACACACTGTTGGGGGAAGCAAATAATGATGCAACAGACAGAGAAACTTTCCACCATAAAGGGGAGAAAAACTGGAGTTTGCTAAATTGAAGAACATCTGGTCCATTAAACTAATATTATGTGAGGCAAACCAGCGTGGGAGAAGCTCCCTGTAGTACATATATCTAAAGGACTCCTCACTGGGGTAGGCAAAAACTCCTACAAAGGCAAGTGACAAAATAGGAAAATGGGCAAATGACTTGAAAAGACATGTCACCAAAGGGAATCTCCAAATGGTCAGGAAGCATATCAAAAAGCACTTGACCTCATTAGTCATCAGAAAGTATTGATAAATTCAACAGCAATGACATTAGGAGCTTCTACCTAGCAGAAGATGACAATTCAAAAAGCCAAACCATTTGGAGGGTGAGGATATCTACAACACACAACCTAAAAAGCAGCAATATCTAGGAGATTTAAAGTGCAAGAAAAAGACAAAACAACCAAAAGATTTAGGTAAAAAGACCTATAAAGCATTTCACATGAGAGAAAATATGAAAGCTAATTAAAGACAGGAAAACGTGTTCAACCTCTGTAATGATCAGGGAAATGTAAACTTGATACTTCATACCATGGCCATAAGATCAGCAAAAAGGCAAAAGTTGGCAAGGATGGGAAGTAAGAGGCATTCTTTCTTTTTTTTTTTAATACAGGTGTTCAATGATTTTTATTTTTTAAGAGGAATTCTTATATACTGCTGGCAGTAGAATGAAGACTACCTTTGTGATGTTCACATCTGTCTTTCTTGTCCGCTTCATTATTTCCTCAATTCTCTATTAAAAGGAAAACAAAAAGTCAAACATGAAAAGAGATTAAAAACCAGTGGTCCTGAAGCAGTTGATTATCTCCATTTTACACAGGTGGACAATGACACACAATGTATGCTCCAAAATCATAGATTTCACCCACAAAAGACAATGCAGGACAGCTGGCCTCCCTGTTCTTCTGAACTGGTTTCAGCTATAATATGCCATGAATGGTGACAGTTGTACTTTTTATTACAACATAGATACCCAAATGACAATTTCTTACTTCTATTTTCACATAGACATTAATTAGAGTAAGCATATTTTATTGCAGACAAATTGGAGTTTTTAGTAGGATTTTAGTCTTCACGGACCTTTCCTGAGGCTAAATGAAAATAATGCACCTCAGTCATGGCACTGTCAACAGATTTCATTACTAAAAATAGACAGGAGGCTGACAAGAGGTATATTTTAGGGAGGGTTAAGAATTCTCTACCATGCACGGGGCTGGGTTATAGCTCAGCACATTTGAGGCACTGGGTTCAATCCTCAGTACCACATAAAAATAAACAAATAAAATATTGTATCTATTTTAACAAAAAAGAATTCTCTACCATGCATAAGGTGAGGAGAACTGTGACTCCCTGGCCACCTCAGGGTGCCTGATGATTTATGGACAGGGAGGTCCTGCACACCTCAGCCCAGGTTGGGGCTCCCAGATGAGCCATGTGAGTTGCATAAAATGTGGCTCACCCTTACAAATGGCCTGCACCTTGGCCTCTCAAAGATGCCTGCACTTCTTCCCACGATAGTTATTGCAAATGCTAGCCAGTTTAGAAGAAACTCTAACTTTTGACAACCCGTACCATGACTAGTCATTCTGTTCAAAGGAGCTGTGTTCCCACAGGTTTGCTATATTGTGGCAATGCTGTAATCATTACCAAGGGTTCTTGAGGAAATGGCAATGTAGAGGAAAAACCTTCTATATATAAACCAGCTCCTTGGATAAGGAAGAGGAGAGTATAGTGGGAAAAAAAGCCAGATGCTAATACACACCTGACTTGTGATTTTCAAAAATGCCACCCAATTGTGTTTAACATAATCAAACACCCCAAAACAGAAAACACTTACCTTTTTTCTCTCTAATCTTTCTTGTAAATTTTGTAACATAATTCTCTCCTGCTCCTTCTTGCGTTTATCAGCTTCTTCCTGAGCTTTTATTTTGGCATCCCCTTTCTAGAAAAAGTGTGTAAAAATATCATTTAAATTCAATATATGATAGCACATTTAAAAAGTCAACTGTTGTAACCTCTTGACTGAGCACTCCTATCTATGACCAGTCATGGATTATCAATTTTCAAACCATTAGTTAGAATACACAGAACTAGGTGAAATGTTATCTGGAAGGCTCAGGATGTCAAGAGTATCATTATGAACATCACATCATCTTACTTTAAAACTACGTAGGTGACTATGGAGCTATCCATTAACATAGCAACAAGAGTGAAAAGTCATATTTCTCCCAGTGTCACTGAGAGAATCCACAAAGGTTCCTTCTAGAGAAATTCAAGCACACACAATCATTTATGGAATTTACATGTTACCAAATTTGATGAATCACACACTAAAATTGGGACTAGAAATTAGACTATGGTAATAATTCAAACTGAGTATAGTTTGAGCTCAGTTCAGGAATTTAGTTTCCTAGTGGCTTGAATTTAGAAGGGTGATATATTCTTACTGGTGGATCTGATTTTGAACTTTGCCTGGTGTGGGAGGTGTGGGGTGCAGCTGTGAATGCCATTAGTGTTACCACAGAAAGCAAATTTGGGGAAAACCAACCTGGGATATCTTATCTGAGCAAGCAGTTTGGATTTCAAACTAAAGGACTACTAATCTATAATATACTGTTTTCTGCCTTTTTTTAGCTGCCCTCGGGAAACTTGGGGACTTTGCCAAGGATGGCTGAAGATGACCTGCAGTGGTAATGGGTTATAGTGAAACTGTAATGTTAAAGTGCCACAGGGAATGCTACATCTCCTTACAGACAAATTTCAGCTGGGCATGGTGGAGTAAGCCTATCATCCTGGCGGCTCAGGAGGCTGAGGCAGTAGGATCGTGAGTTCAAAGCCAGCCTCAGCAATGGCAAGGCTCTAAGTAACAGTGAGATCCTGTCTCTAAATAAAATATAAAATAGGGCTGGGGATGTGGCTCAGTGGTTAAGCATCCCTGCATTCAATCCCTGGTACTAAAAATAAGAAACAAAGATTGCTGCCTTTTTTTGTGTGTGTGTGTGGTGTTGGGGATGGAACCCAGAGTCTCATACATGCTACGCAAGTATCCTGCCACTGAGCCCCAGGCCCAGCCCTGCTGTGAGTTTCAACTAAATTTTATTAGCTGGTTCTTAATTGCTGCTAAAATGTTAAGCCAGTAAACCTGTAGTAGTACTTCCTGGTCTTGATGCTGACATCCTTTGTTCTTTTTAATCTCTTTTTCTTGTTCTTGCCCATCTTCACATTTTGATAGCTCTTCTGCTTGGCCTTTGTCCACCTTCTCTATCACATCTGCCACTTTCCTAGGAAAACAAGAGTATTCAAATAATTCTTAGTATTTATCTTAGTTGCTACCATATACAGCTTGCAGTAGTATGCAACCTTTTATAATGAAATTGCTCCCACATTAATACAGTTTACATTTACACCATATTCACCACTTTTTCTGTGTTGTTACTACACAAAATTTACACAATTTCACCCTTTTTTTTAAAAGTGGGGGAACTAGCCTGAGAGAGTAGAAAAGGACTTCTCTCAAGTACTGGACTGCTTTGAATCTTAAAAACTGTGCATACACATGCACATATGCAAAACAGAAAAGAATTACTCCTGAACTGTTTTAGAGATCCTCCCCAAAGTCCTTATTTACACATGCTTACACCCAATCTCACCTGGGTAATATGGAGGATGGTCTAGTGGTGCCCCATTATCCAGCGCTTTCAAATGCTAAATTAGCCATGTTTACATTAGGTGATAATATTCTTCCACTTATAATTTGTTAGTATTCACAATATCACCTTTCTCCTCTTTCTCTGAGCCCATATAAAGTTTATGGAAATTGTGAAATTATATTGCACAGAAAATAAAGCCAGTGCTGTAGGTATTCCTTGCAGGCAGTGGACAGAGGTTTACATTACAGGGCTCAACTTAAAATGGGCCCCTAAATGGAAGAGCAAGGAACCTTTCTTTTCAAGTTCTGAGGCATACAGCTGTATATAAGGTTTGCTGCCCACAAGACATCCTACAAGCAGTGACTCACTAGTTAGATGAGATTCAGGTATCACAAAGGTCTTTGGAACCCAAAGTGAAATAGGAGTATGTATAATTTCCAGGTTTACAAATACTGAAGTTACAAGTCTTAAAGGGTCTGACACCAGAAAATACAAATATAAATGTCATGTGATCACTCAAGTGCTACTGTGCTTAGAGATGGGAACTCTGGGCATGAGTTTGGTCTTTTTATACAGTAGCACAACCTAATGGCACACAATGTATGGAGATTAAAAGGGACAGAGAGGTCCTCTATGTTCAGCCACTCACTTGGTTAGAAGGTAACAAGGAAATTTTGATCCTTGCTGAAGAAAAATTCAATTTTTGAGAAATTATAACTTGTGGGTAATATTTCAAAATTGGGGCCCCAGCCTAGACTAGTATAGAAAGGATGATGATTTTGTGCTGACCTTGGTTCCATTTCTTTCTGGAGTCTCTCTTCTTCTTTTTTGTCTTTTTGTTCACGAGCAAGACGGCGTTTCTCTGCCAAAATTTTCGTTGCTTCCTCAGCACTCATGGTTCCTGGTGCAATTTTATTACTAGACTCTAGTTTAAATGAAAATGTAGAATAGTTAGTTTAGGGAACTTATTGTCTCTCAGTCCAATAAATAAGTACAATATAACCCAAAACATTAAAAAATGAACAATGTGTGCATAGATCCAAATTTATAAACCATAAGCAAACTATAGGTGATTTGTTCAAAGCCTCAACTGTTCCCTGACAAGAGAATTAGCATTTTCTTTTAAATAAATACTTTTTCCAAAATGCAATACTATACTTCTACTTTATTTTAGCTATATTTTTTGGTGGGTGGGTACCAGGGATTGAACTCAGGAGCACTCGACCACTGAGCCACATGCCCAGCCCTATTTTATATTTTATTTAGAGACAAGGTCTTGGCCTGGGGATATAGCTCAGTTGGTAGAGCGCTTGCCCCTGCATGCACAAGGCCCTAGGTTCTAATCCCCAGCACCACAATAAAAAAAGAGAGACAGGGTTTCACTGAGTTGCTTAGCACCTAGCTTTTGCTGAGGTTGGCTTTGAACTCAGGATCCTCCTGCCTCAGCCTCCTGAGCTGCTGGCATTACAGGCTTGCACCACCACATCTGGCCTTGTTTTAGCTATTTGGAGATAACTCAATCAAATGACTGGATAGGAAAAGATTAAGATATACTGATTATAGGGAAAGTCAAGGTTTAGCCTGGTCCAAATGAAGAGTATAAATCTTAAATACCTGATTAACCCAAAAATACATTAGGCATACATCTGGAAATCTTTGGCACATTTTCATTACTTTCCAGTTAAACTCTGATAACAGTGTGTATATCTGGTTATCATAAAGTGGCTAACTGTAGATGATAACCAAAGAAACCAAGACTATCAGTAAAGTAAGGTGAAGATGTGGAGGCCTATTATCATATTTTAGTCTGTGTAACTCATTGCTTTACTTTAAACAAATCACATGTGAAAAGGAAAATTTTAAGACATATCAAGAATGAACAATATGCAATAAAAAGATTATTTCTGTTACAAAGAATTTACTGTGAAATTCCTTTAAAAAGCAAAACTCCCTAATGTATTTAAAATTAAATAATGTCTGTAGGTGTAAAAATGTGTGTGGCAGGCAAAACAGCCATGTGGCAATTTTCAGGAACCTGCATACAATACAAACTAAGGCACACCACATGCTCTGACCTATATATGGAACCTGACCTACATCTCCTAATGGAAACCTGCTCATCCAGGAATGGCTAGATGTGTTCTCTCCAGCAATCATCTAACATCAGAGCTGGGAGAGCCTACAGGGATCTCCTAGACCAACCCTCTCATCCAACCTGTGCTTTTAGCAGTAGTTTCAAAATGAACTTTCTAAAACAAAGAGGTGGGGTGAAAACGAAGCTTTGGCAATGACAAGTAAGCAGAGAAGCTACATTCCAGGAGAACCAGTGATTTAGTTAAATTCTCTTAATATCTAAAAGAAAGATCACTTCCTAAAGTTCTTTCCATTGGGGAATAAAATTATATTGACCATTCCCAAAGTACCTCAAGATTTTATGTGTTGTTAAAATGAACTTCTTAAATTTTTTTTTTATATTGGGGAATGAGCACAGGGGTGCTTTACCACTGAGCTACATCTCCAGCCCTTTTAGTTTTCATTTGAGACAGTGTCTTGTTATGTTGCTTAGGGCCTCACCAACTTGTCCCAATTGGCCTCAAACTTATGATCCTCCTGCCTCAACCTTCTGAGTAGCTGGGATCAGAGGAATGTGCCACCACACCTGGCTTAAAATACACTTCTTAATGAGAGAACTTACCCTCAGAGATCATCTGTTTTTGGCTCACAGGCTCACATTTGTTTGGGGATTTAGAAACTGTTTCTCTTTTCTTTTTGACAATACCATCTGGCACAAATAGGGTACGTTGAACAGGTATGATTTTACAGGGCAGAGGAGCATGTACTGATTGTTTTGACAAGACTGGTGAAGGTGATGGTGGGCGGTTCTTTTGAATATGCCTGCTGAGAAAAAGTAACAAATGTGTGTTAGTTAATTTTTAGTATACAATTTGATAAAATATAATGTCTCAACACTATGAGATAATGATCATAAGATTATGATCTGGGAGTTTTTATAATAGACAAAGCTAAATCCATTTTAAAAGTTTTTTTTCTTCACATTTGTGTTACTGCGCATACAATCATATTTCATCATGAAACACTGACATGAAATTTGTCCTGACATGAAATTAACACCTACCAGAATGGTTGCAAGTAGGCTACTTACTTACATAGTATTTACGGGAGAGGGTGGATGACACCCGCTGGCAGGAGATGGTGACTGCATATTAGATAGTATGTTTGAGGATGGATGCTTCTTGATAACAGGGTTGGAGGTCTGTCTGTCCATTTCTGGTTTCTGAACAGGCTAATGCAGTAGGATATTAGTAAGTATTTTATTGCAGCTAGCTTTGTAAAAGAAAAACATTCTGAATAAAGTACAATTATAGTTCCTTAAATCCACGAATTTCCTTTAGTGCTTGAAATCAGGTTCAGACACATTTTCTTCTAGACTAACAATTATATTACACAATTCAAATGGATTACAGAAATAACTAATTTATGAGAAATCTTTTTTTCAAAACCTATTTCCATTTCTAAGTCTTAATTAAGGGTTTGGAAGACTTCTTAAAAAAAATCTTTTCTTCAGAGTTCAGAAACAGTTCATAGGAATGTTACACTTTCTCCCTTCAACCAAAAGCAATATTCCACAGTTTGGGGAAAATATTACACTAGAGTAACAAACATCAGAGATTTTAAATTACTTAGGGAATTATTTTATTAATTTTATTGCAGAACACTATAATAATGTTAATTTTGTTGTAAAACCCAACCTATTATGTTCTATACAATGAAATACACGCATTTTAATAGGAAACTTGTCAATAAAACATGACAAACTTCTGGAGAGTCTCTCACTTTTACCTGGAAGATGATTTCATGCTCACCTTGGGGGATGCCTTGTAGGACACTTCTGCCACCATCTTAGGGGATGATTCCAAGCTCTCCTTGGGTGATGCTTCTACTTCCCCTTCAAGAGGCACTTCCACATTTGCCTCAGGAAGTGTTTCCGCACTCTGGGATGCTTCCATGTTTGCGTTACAGGGAGCTTTCATGTTCACCTTAGGGGATGAGCCCATGCTCCCCTCAGGGGATGTATCTAGGCTCACCTCAGAGGAGGCATCCATGCTCACCACAGGGGACACTTCCACACTAACCAAGGGGGATGTTTCTGTGCTCGCCACAGGGGACAATTCCATGTTCTCCATGGGGGAGGCTTCCATGTTCAACAAGGCATCCATTCTCACCTCAGAGGGCACTTCCATTTTCGCCTTGGGAGTAGCTTCCACATTTACCTTGAAGGGTGTTACTACTTTCTCTAGGGGAGCCATTTCTAATTTTGTCTGAAGAGGTGTCTTCACTATTGGCTTACTGAACATGATGGAACTCTTCAATTCATCACTACTGTGGCTACGCAAGGGCATATGTACATACTGGAGGAGGTGATTGGTGACACCTATAAGTGAATGAGGATGGAGAGTAAAATGCCCTAAAGTTAGAAATTTGATAAGACAGTATAAGAACAGGAACAGAGAAAAGAGACAACTGTTTATTAGGAAATCACAGAGATTACACACATCACAGGAAGTATTCGCCAACAACAGTCACTGTGAAAGCAATGTTTTTTTTGTTTTTGTTTTTGTTTTTTTTTAGAGAGAGAGAGAGGGAATTTTAATATTTAGTTTTTAGTTTTCGGCAGACACAACATCTTTGTTGGTATGTGGTGCTGAGGATCGAACCTGGGCAGCACGCATGCCAGGCGAGCACGCTACCGCTTGAGCCACATCCCCAGCCCACAATGGTCTTTATTACAGATGAAAATAAGATGTTTTTCCAAAGTTCATATTTGCCATTTCTGTTTTTTATACCTTTGTTTTATTTATATTTTTACATGGTGCTGAGGACTGAACTCAGTGTCTCACACATGTCAGTTAAGGCTATACCACTGGGCTACAGCCCCAGACCTGCCATTTATATTTTAACTGCACTGCACTTCAGAATTATTTTCATGAAAATTGCAAGGTCTTCAACATCTTTAAAAAGTAATATGAACATCTTCACCAGGACTAGATTTTAACCATTACAGGTGATTACATAAGACACTTCATAGTTGATTGTTGCAGAAGGGAATTAAGAAAAGCATTTTCTCAGCCATATTAAAAACTGTACTAAGACTTACTAGGAGTGGGCTAGATCTCAAAGGTCTCTTCCAGTTTCAGCAAACCAAATATTTTTTTTGCCTAGGGAAGGAGCAAAATGCTAATATTCCATGTCAGCTTGTATGGAAGAAAATGGTAATTCCAATATTTGGAACCAGGCAACCTCATACACTGCTGGTGGGATTGTAGATTTGTATATGTTTCCTGAGGAGCAATTTGGTAATATGTATCAAAAGCCATTTAAGTAGTATATACTCTTTGTTTTAGCAATTCCACCTCTGGATTTATCCTTAGTAAAAAAATAAAGATAAAAAACCTAGATAAAGGGGTTGGGGATTTATCTCAGTGGCAGAGCACTTGCCTAGCACAGCAAGGCCCTGAGTTCAGTCCTTAGCCCTGGAAACTAGATAAATATGTAAAAATGTATTCACATTGTTGCTAACTAAACCATTGTTTTAAATACTGGGATAGTTGAAAATATAATCCAAATATTCAAAAGAAAACTTGCACTATAGGAAGGCAGTCATTAAAAGAAGTAATTTGCAATTTTTTGGATACAGAAAATGGTATTTATTGAGTTTAACAAAGGCAGGTTATTATCTCCTTTTGTGAAAAAATATATATGTGGAAAGATATTAAATTACTAGTGTGCCTTGAAATAGTAGGGAGATTACACTTAAAATCTTGTTCTATGCTAAATGTTTACTGCTTATATAATAAAGTAAACATTTTAAAAATGTCTTCCATGGTAGCTTTCTTAACACTTGGTAAAATTATTTGGCACATCAACTTTAAGTGGCAAATTTTCACGATTTTGTCAAATATTTAAAATAGAATTACCAATTAACTACTTATGAATAAAACTTGACAAAGTTGTTATTTTTTTAGTTCCTCATTTTTGATAAAGAAAGCAGTTTATTTACATATCTACATGTGCCTAACAGTTACATTAATTAACACCAACAATTAGTATTATAGAAAATGTATAAAGTATAAGATTTTTTGTGTGATCCTAGAGACTGAACCTAGGGTCACTTTACCACTGAGCATTATCTCCTTCCAGTCCTTTTTTTAATATTTATTTTTTAGTTGTTGTTGGACACAATAACTTTATTTTACTTATTTATTTTTATGTGGCGCTGAGGATCTAACCCAGGGCCTTGCCCATGCTAGGCAAGCGCTCTATCCCTGAGCCACAACCCCAGCCCCACTCCAGTCCATTTTATTTCTGATTTTTGACATGGGGTCTTGTTGCCCGCCTCCACATTGCTGAGATTTTAAGTGTGCATCACTACACTTAGCTCGTTATAGAAATTTAAGACAAAATACTGAGTTTTTCATGATAGTGATCTATTAAGCTAAAACAAAAATAATCAGAAATATCTAGATTGGTAGTGGGGGAAACTGGCAGAAACTAATCTGATATATATATATATATATATATATATATATATATATATATATATATACCTAAAGCATGCCAGGAATCAGAGCACTACAAGAAAGACTGATACAATGTTGATTCATTTTACTAATCACATGAAAATGACAGAAAAAAAGAGGTGGGATGTATTCTGGAAAGGAAAGAGCAGAGGGGGTAAATAATGGGGACAATGCAATAGACCTTTCCATTATTGGGGATATCTTGCTGTCCACAGGCTATGTAAACTACAAATGAGAAAGTCCTCATAATCCTGAAGATTTGTTTTGTTGTACTTACAATCTTTATGTCCCTAATTGAAAACTGAAAGTTTGATCAATGTTATTGCTCCATATTTTTGGAAAAAAAAAAGGTTAGTAGGAAATTTTCTTGTTTGATATTAGTGAAGTTCTTCTATATTTTTAGAATCTATAGAGCTTTAAAATTTAACCAACATGGGCTGGGGTTGTGGCTCAGTCATAGAGCACTTGCCTAGTGCATGTGGGGCCCTGGGTTCCATCCTCAGCACCATGTAATAATAAATAAATAAATAAATAGTTGAATAAACAAAATAAAATTTTAACAACCATCACCAAGTTAGTCATCTCATCCTATTAATTACCCATTACCCAGTTTAATCTACCATGCTAGAAATTTTGTAACTATTGAATCAAATTATTTTGACACCTAAAAGCAAAAAGTCAAGTGTTAGAGCCTACTTTTTAAGTGCAAACACGAGTACTTTCAGGCTTTTTTCCATGTGCCTGTTACCTGGAGTATCTTTTCCTGGGACGGATAATGAAGCAGCAGTCTTGCTTCTGGCTACTGATGCTCTTGTTGGGATAAGCAGGCGACTGATTAAATTATTCTCGGAGGGATTGCAATAAAATCGACGAGCTAAATGATGAGAATAAATTTAAAAAGCATTCAATTTGAGGTCTTACACATGAATAAATACAAAGCAAGAATGATCAATGTAAACTGCTGTAAAAATGGTAACTTTCCCAACAATACATAGTATAATAGGATTGGACACTGTTAATCTAATCAGATTGCACTGTCAGGGACAAGATTACCTGAATTAAGGAGCAAAGGCCTCAGCATACCACAATACCCCCAAAGAAGAAACTCAGGTAACATATTTGACATAACCACCTCCCATAGTATGGTGTCCTTATGGGAACTCACACATGGAGAAAAAGAATTGCACATGACAAAACAACATTTACATGGATTCCCAGATGTATGTCATTGACAATCATAATGATCAAGTGCATTGCCAAAAGCTCCCAGGAATTGACTGAACTTTTTTGTTAAAAATGAGCTTTGTGCCAGGCATGCTAGTGCACGCCTGTGATCCCAGCAGCTCAGGAGGCTAAGACATGAGGATCATGAGTTCAAAGCCAGCCTCAGCAAAAGTGAGGCACTAAGCAACTCAATGAAATCCTGTCTCTAAATAAAATACAAAATAGGGCTGGGGGTGTGGCTCAGTCGTCGAGTGCCCCTGATTTCAATACCCAGTACCTCCTACCAAAATGAGCATTGTTGTAAATAAATATCTTGCTCCAATAAGTATTTATATTCTTAAAGATTCCTATGAAATGGCATTTGTTCCAATAGGGTTGAACCTGAATCAATTAAGTACAAAGTCTTCCATAAGTGAATGGTGAGAAACAAAAAGCAACAAAACACATATGAAAGGGTTCCATCCATAGAACTTCAAGGAGGAAAAAAAGGATGCTTCACTTTTCAGTTTCAGAAATGATTTTTAACCAATAATGTTGACATAAATATGCCTGTTTTAACCACTAATCACCTGGCTTGTCCTCCATGTGTTCTAAGTCAGTAGATGAATGTACTTTGTTTTCTCTTCTATTCAAAGATGAGCTTCTCTTATTTTCTGTTTTTCCTAGAGGTCAAAAGCAAAGAAATATCACTTTTCATGAATGACATAAATATATTATTTTAGGAGCCACTCATGTTTACATATTTTTGTTTATCTTGTCTACCCTTGCTTATAAGAATTTAATTTCAAATACAATACAGAGATTCTACTCCCCAAACTTAAAACTAATTTGCTCTGTTACTGAAATGAAAATAAGGTGATTTAGAAAATGTTAAAATTTAAGAGGTAAAATGTCTGATACTATCCACAACATCAAAGTTCCCAAGTTAGGAATATACAACCTTTGATTTTAGACACAATCCATGATGTCTAATAGTAAAAGTGATTTATATGTTAGTTATAACTAGTATTTTTAAACAAAAATATTAATGTTTAGAATAGATGTCACAACTTAAGCAACCCAACCATTCACAAGGGAAAACAATTTGCTTCCAATAGACACTTTTTTCATTTTGCTTCAAATATTCTAGTTCAGAATACTGAGGAATGTCTGTTTGAAAAAAACAATTTCTCTTTTGGAGATCTGTAAATTAAAGTACATATTGACAATCTAGCATCATTTGAAAATTTCTTGAATTGATAATGTGATTGTATAGCATGAACTACAAAGTTGTAAGCAAGTCAATGATTAAGTTACACAATTCCTCATTAGTAGACTGCAAGAAATGACAAAATACTGAGAATAGTTATGAGTCAGCAATGAGTGGAAGAAAAATAAGACTATCTGAATCAACCAAGATTTAAAACAAGATTATTTAAAATATTACATATTAAATTGTGAACTTCATTTGAGTTTAAAATATTGATCTCTCTGGATTGAATAGGTCTCATTTCAATTTAAAGAGATTTTCTGGAATCATTAATTACAGCATTCATCACTTTGGAGTATATATCATACTGTACCTTTAAATAGGTTACTTCACAAAGTATCTTCCATACATACCTTCTATTAAAAACTAGTAAAGAAATCATTTAAAAAGTTAACTTGGTATTGCTCCTTCAGTGTAGTTTAACTAGTCATTACCTTACCTTTTAAGTCATCGCCTGTCCCTTCTCTTTACATGTTTCATGAATATGGCAAGTGGACATATCAATGAAAGCATAGTTTTATATAATATTATATTTAATCTCTGCTAATTCTTGAAGTAAATAGATAATAAAACATAGTCAACACTTGTAGAACAATGTTTGTGGGACACAAATATGCTATTGCAATTATTGCTATCTAATTTTTCTAAGAGATTTAGTTGGTAAATAATACATTAATTTTACCATGGGACAAGCAAGGTGCTAAAAAAAAGTCTTCCTACATTAGTGTATGAATGAACCCAGGCTACACATAAAAGTGCTTTGGAAAAGAACAAATGTGGATCCAACTTTTCCCAGACTATTGTAAGAGAAAATGTGCTAGACTAAGACTGTCAACAAAAGTAAACAAAAGACAAAATGAAAGCTCATAGTTGAAATTGTAAGAGTTCTAAAGACAAATAACAGGTGAGTTTTAACAAAATAAAAATCATTTTTTCCCCTGAACCTATCACAAGTATAATATTGCTTTGGACAAAAAACAGAAATCCTATCCACTAGATTAGTCACTGCTACGATTCACTATTCTTTAAATGGTACCACCCAGAATCTTTTGCTGTACTAGAATTTTAAAGTCATCAGCATTGCTCAAAAAATGTCAAAGCACCTAATAACACAAGGACACATTTTTTTTTTAAAGAGAGAGAGAGAGAATTCTTTAATATTTATTTTTTAGTTTTTGGTGGACACAATATCTTTATTTTATTTTTATGTGGTGCTGAGGATCGAACCCAGTGCCCCTCACATGCCAGGCGAATGAGCTACCGCTTAAGCCACATCCCCAGCCCAACAAGGACACATTTTAAATTCAAACTATTATGATGTCTTATTCCAGGCATAAAAATGATATTGTTTCATCTTTTTTGTCCTTATTATTAAGACAGGGTCTCAAAATATTGCCTAGAACCTCCTGGGCTCAAGTGATCCTCCCATTTCAGCCTTCTGAGTAGCTGGGATTACAGGCACATGTCACCATGCCCAGCTATCTTTATCTTTTTTTAATGGCCAAGTTTGAGGGAATGATGCAGAATTTGTTTCCCAATGTTTTTCTTGCCAAGATCATTCCTACTGCTTCCTCTGGAAAGACAAAGGTATTTTTCCTCTTAGATTGATAAATATGGTTGCTTAATATATTTCAATACATGTGTGCAAAAAGTCAGAAATGGTCACCACACACACTGAAGTAAAGATTTTTTTAAAAAATAAGTAATACTAGGCTGGGGTGTAGCTCAGTGGCAAAGCACTTGCCTAGCAAGCGTAAGGTATAAAGTATAAAAATAAAAAATAGTAATGAAAAGATAAAACACCAGGAACAAAAAAGGTATTTAAAGTATTCATAACAGATAACTTCATTTTATTTAAAACAACACTGCATTTTTAACTATGAAGATTTGTAAAGTGAACTTGGCAATATTCTTATCATTAAAGTGTTTAGGGGGACCTTGTTTCTAAATAAAATGTAAAACAAATAGCTGGGGTTATGGTTCAATTGGTAGGCACCCCTGGGTTCAACTCCTGGTACCAAAAAATAAAAAATAAAAATAAAGCATGTTAAGGTAGAAATCATTGAATTTCTTGATGTCTTAATTATGAAACAAGGAAGGCAATTGTACTTGCTGATCTATTTCACAAGTTCACTGTAGATAACAAATATGATATTTGTAAAGCAGATCAATCTGTCCACCACTATATTTTCTGTCCACCACTATTATTTTCTTTAAATGACACTTAGTGGAAACTGAATGACTAGTCAAACCAGACTTTAGAAAACAAAATTTCTAGAATGTGAATTAATTTAAAAGTAAATTAAATTAATTTACATTCTAGAAATTGACTAGAATGTGAATTAATTTAAAAGTAAAATAAATTATTATGCCACTTAATGCCAATGTCTTTTGGCAAAATATGTTTCAAACATTTCAAATTTGAGCCCCCCAAATTCCATCTAATATGATTAACACAAAAATCATGAAACAAGGATTTATATTGATGAAAATACAAAATAGCAATGGCCATCTCATTCTACTGTAAAATAATGTGGTGATTTTCTGAAATAAATCTAAAATGTTCTACAATCTAAACAAGTGGCACTGTGCAAATACATAAAAATAATTGATTTCCTTAAGTTGAAAATCAGCAGAATTCATGACATAACTACTTACTCTTAGCAATAGAATTTAAGACCTGTAAATGACATAGGCATCTATTTAATTAAAGCAGATAAGCCCTGCTGAAGATTTTCAGTAAATATAGATCATTTATCAACTGAGAAAAGATATGATATTTACTGTAATCATATTTTTACAAGATAATATTAGCTGAAAAAATGAGTTTTCATAGATGTAGTTCTATGGAGGACAGATTTACATTAATTAGGAATATAATATTTATTGTCATTTCTTCCAAACTATATAAACTTAATATTTTATTTTATGAAACTGCATAAAATTACACCTACATATAAAAAAACTTATGGTGAGTAAATAGTAAAGAAAATAGTTTATTTTTTAAAACAAGTAGTGTGTAGTTATAATATTATGCTGGTTATAAATTTAATTAAGATTTGGGGTATATTGAATTAAAATATATTATAAAATCTTACCTGTTTCTTCTACACTGGCATATGACACAAATTTAAATATAAATTTACTGTGTATAGCATTTTTGTTTAGGATAGAGATTACAATCTTGCTATAAATGCAACCTTATAGTAATAGCCAACATTTAAATATGAACATTAGTGAACTTAAAATCTGATAGTTGTGTTCATTACCAGGTTTGTTTTCAGAATTTGCCATGGCGGAGCCTTCCCATGACCATCTCTTTTGCCGTTGATCAACACGGTTAGTCCGTTCCAAAGTGCGAGAAAGAACAGCTTTGTATTTTTCCTATTTAAAATAAATGCCAACACGTTTTTCTACATTCACTATATTAGTAAAATTTTGATTTGTGGTTTACAAAGCAAACCTCATCACCAAATTTCATTATCAGAAGTTAAGTTTTTATTAGATAAAAGTTTAAAATAATTGGAGACATGTTTCAGGTACCAATCAATACCAGTGCTTCTTCTGAATAGTTTCTATTTTGTTTTATGAACCCTGCATCAATGAACTGACCATGCTTTCCTCTTTGCTTATATCCTTAGGAAATTTAGAGTCAAACTTGTGGTTTATTTCTCTCTCTCTCTCTCTCTCTCTCTCTCTCTCTCTCTCTCTCTCAGTACTGGGGATTGAACCAAAGGGTGCTTAACCACTGAGCCATATCCCCAGCCCTTTTTTATTTTTAGTTTTGAGACAGGGTCTTGCCAAGTTGCTCGGGACCTTGCTAAATAGCTGAGGCTGGTTTTGAACTCAAAAGATCCTCCTATCTCAGCCTCCTGAGCTGGAGGGATTACAGGCATGTGCTACAGCCTGGTTTGTGGTCTATTTTTAGCAATTGCAAAGACTGAGTGCTAATCATATCTTACCTACCTTAATACCTTTGTCTACCTAAATTCTCCCCTCAGCTTGAATCCCTCAATCATTACTTTCTCAACCATTAATTTTAATATCTGGTGTGCTATGTATTTTTTAAATTTCCTTAAATTTTTGTGAAATGAAGCAAGAAAATAACAGCATGCATATCAGTAAATCTATGCCACACTCATCTATTATACCCACACCTATAGCAGCTTAATTCTGGTGTCAACTAATAGTGTTCTAAAAAAGATAAGTGATGTCTTTGTCTTGACCTCAACTGTGCATTAAACTAGTCAAATCACCGCTCACAATTGCCATGCTGTGGCAGAAGAGCTGCACTCCAGAAATGAGATCTTTACTCAGATATTTCTCATTTCTGTGTATAAAATACCATGTACTATACTTGAGTAAGCAAATCAACCTCAGGGCCAGAGGTTTTCTATTTTTCCTTAACAACCGTTTCATAGCAACATCATCCTTATAATGTCCCCACCATTTCTGAGGGCAAAGATAAACATGCCAGGAAAATGAAAGAGAATTTATGTAATGGCAATATTTGAAAATCACATTTTCTAACAGAAAGTCAAGTTATTCTAAATTGCTTAGAAACCCTGGAACTATAATAGACTAAAACTAGAGAAGAACCTTGCCTTATGAAAATATTTCTGATCCATAAGAATTGTATCCCACTGTTTTAAATGTACTGACCCTCTGTGCTGTCTTTCAGGTTCCTTCTCAAATCTGTGGCTGCCCATAGCTTACGTGTAGTTTCCATTTTGTGTCATATATTTCCTCTCTATACTCACATCTCCTTCTCTACTCTTCAAAATTATATTCTCATTTCCTATAGCCAAACCTACTTAAAGTGCCCCATCATGTCCCCTACTCTGTCTGGGACTCCCTCACACTAGCTCTCTGTGGTTCTCTCTTCCTTCCTGCCCCTTTGGCTATGTCTCTGGCTCCCTTTCTTTCTTTTGTTCTTTTTGTTTTGTTTCGTTTTTCTTTTATGGTACCAGGGATTGAACTCAGGGGCACTTGATCACTGAGGCACATCCCCAGGCTTATTTTATATTTTATTTAAAGACAGGGTCTCAGTGAGTTGCTTAGGGCCTTACTTTTGCTGAGGCTGGCTTTGAACTCGTGATCCTCCTACCTCAGCCTCCTGTGCCACTAGGATTACAGGCATGCACTACCACACCTAGCCTTTGGCTCCACTTTTGTCTGCAGTGTCATTTTGTTATATTCTCTTCTCTGTGTTCTGTCTTTCAGCTTTTTTTTTTTTTTTTTACTTAGATGGTCCTTTCTCTATCTCTCTCCTTCTCTCTCAGTCCCTGGGACTGTCTCTTCTCCAGGGACCCTCCTTCAATCTGCACACAGTTTTCTATTTTGCATTCTTTGGTTCTTGAACTGTCTTTCCGTAGTTCCTACTATTTTCTCTGGCTTTCATGAGGACATGTTTCACAGAAGACAATGGAAAGTGACAAGAAATTATGAAAGATATTATACTAAATACTGGAACATGAAACCTGCAGATCACAAACATCCAAAGAAAAAAGTTCAGGTTGGGCTGGGGATGTGGCTCAGTGGTTAAGCACCCCAGGATTCAATACCTGGTACCAAAAAATAAAAAAGAAAAAGGCTCAGATTGGGTATGGTGGTACACATCTACAAACTGAGCTACTCTGAAGGCTCAGGCAGGAGGATTGTAAGTTTGAGGCCAGCCAGGGCAACTTAGTGAGACCTTATCTCAAAATTAAAAAAAGAAGTGTGGGCTAGAAATAGAGCTCAGTGGTAGAGCACACCTGGGTTCAATCCCCACTACTGAAAAAAAAATGTTCAGTAAGGCAGAGAGGAAAAGGTAACAGACCATGGATGGGGAACAAAAGGCACAAGAAAATACTGAAGATCTCCAGATGGGGTGCAGGGCTGCGCATGAAGCACATGTGAGAGCACCTGCATCCACCAGAAAGGAGGACAAGTATGTACCACAGAGAAAGACAAAAGAAGTTTCACAGGGAGAAATGGAACCAAAGAGACAAGGAGAAAAAAAGAAATACAAAAATCAGACCAACCGAAAATAAGGAAGGGAGATTAAAGATGCATACACACTGAGAGAATGACAGGCAGAGAGCTAGAAGATGGGGAAAAGTATGGAGACTCTAAGACAAAGAAAATAAAAAGAAAAGTGAGTGGTCTCAGGAAGAAAAAATCAGGGTCAGGGAGTCTAAAACATTTAGAGACACTGAATAGTCAGTGGAACAAACAGACTGTGTCACAGAGAGTATGCCAGATTCAGGAGTCAAGCAGTGAAATGACCTATGAGACAAAAATTTATGATTAAAAAAAAGGAAAATCATAGAGAATGACAGGTAGCCAGATGCACAGTTTAAATAACAAAAGACAAACTGATTGCAGAGGCACACATGAGGAAGAAAGGGGGCATAAGGAAGCCACCGGCTCACACTAACATGTCACACACCAAAAAGAGCCCAGAAAGGAAGAGTGGTAGTGCCACAGACAAGAGAAAAAATGAAGAATGCTGACCATGAACCACAGGTCCATAGGGGCCAAGTCAGAAAAGGGACTGTGAAGCACAGAAGGGACAGGAACAGGGAGGGAGAGAGTAGGCACACACACAAGAGAGCCAGCAGTGTACATGGAAGGGGAGAGAAAGTGCTTGGATTTGACTGGGGAGTCACACAATTAGAGGAGTCCAGAGAAACCATCTAGTCAGATGGGGGCAGGTCAGGGAGCTGAGGCACTGGGGTTTGTCCTCAGTCTCTAGGCAATGGGACAATAGTGAATGGTTTTCGATAATAGATAGAACTGCTCAGAGCACAACCCAAATCACAGGTATCCTATGAGCCATATCCCAAAGGCAAATGGGACCTTTGTTCCTACATCTGCAAGGCTACTCCTTTCTGAGGTTAGGGTCTGAGCTCCTAGGACCTTATCAGGACAGGGCAAGAGCCTCTACTGCTGAGGGAAGGAAAAGGGAAGAAGAGAGGAAAGAGCTGGGACTGAGTCCTTTTCCACAGGGAGTAAAGCAGACAAGGGCTAAGAATAAACATATTTCAGATTCAGGCAACATATGGTATCATCTGATGAATAGGCTATAAAATTAGATACCCTTTCTTCCTCGAATTTTTGTTTTCTTTTTTCTTCTGCAGATATTCTTCGCCGCTCATCTTTTTCTTTTTGTTCTCTTAGTTTTCGTTGCTTTTCCTCCAGATGTTTTTCATATTGGAGCTTGGCCTTTCTTTCTTTTTCAAGTAGTTGTATTTCTTTACTGGCTGAAATAGTCCAAACACAATTTCAAGGTGTAAGAGCCAAGAAAAAAAATTTGTTTTCTACATTACACACAAAGAAAACAGCTAATATTACTCATTGTCTTTCTCAAAACAACATAACCTAGCTAGAAACTAAAGATTTATGTAATAAGTGGATAAAGGTGGACACTAAAGAACCATTTTTCACTGGGTGCTCATTTAACTCTGGTGATTTGGAGTGTCTGAGCCAGATGACCGTCATCCTGTCCAAATGGTAATTTCAAATTAAGGGGGTTGAGGATATAGCTCAGCAGATATAGCTCTTGCCTAGCATGCACAAGGCCCTAGGTTCCATCCCCAAAACTTAAAACAAAAGCAAAAATAAAACAAATTAGCTGGGCATGGTGGCCCACACCTGTAAACCCTGGATTACAGGGACTAGCTGCTCAGGGCCTCGCTAAAGTGCTGAGGCTGGCTTTGAACTAGAAATCCTCCTGCCTCGACCTCCCAAGATGCTGAGATTATAGGCATGTGCCACCACACCTGGCTTAAAATCATTTTTACTAAAATCCCATTCTGCTTGTTTTTGCAGATGTTGAAGAAATGTTCATACCTTACTTTTCAGAAAATTACAGACAACAGAAACTACATCTTGAAAAATTGAATAATTTAGTCAAAGATTTTTTATCTGATTTGGTAACTGGATTTAATCCAATATAATAATCTTTTATATAACAAAAGTTATTATCTATCATATAAACACAGAGAAAAAGCAAGTAAAACCAATATGAACTTTACATAAAATTTATTCATTTTAGTATAAATAAAAGTCTGAAATATACCTTCTTGTTGTCTTTTTCTTTCTTCTCTGCGCTCCTTTGCTAATTTTTGTTTTAAGTCATTTTTTAGAACAGACCCATCTATTACTTTAAAAAAAGAATACAGACATTAATATGCTTTCAAATCTTAAAGATACAACACTTTGCTGTTCTTGAAGCATTAAAGAAATTATACCTGGCTTAAATGCTGATCTTATAGTTGGAGACTGACTTGAAAAAGAGCTAACTCCACTTTGATCTCGTCTTTCTTTTGCAACTGCTTGAGCGGCAGCAACTAAAATATTAGGAGATAAAGGAAAGGGATTAGATATCAAAACACAAACAGGAAATAGAGGAATCACCACAGTCAATTTTATGTGATGATAAAGAACTGGGTCACTCTTCAAGGTAAAATTGTGACTGCTTAATCTGGGTCAACAATAAAGATGTACTGAATACCTATATTGTTCAACAATACCTGATTAAAGAGTTAAAAGTGTTTACTATGGATGTGCCAAAATATTTGTGGACATAAAGACAACTGTATTGTATATGGCAGCACAAGTTTATGGATCAATGGGGGACCAATGATTGATAGCTCTTCAAAATGTGTGAGAAGGACATTACACCAAGTAGTAGAAAAAAACTGAGCTGGCCAAGAACTGGGAAAAAATATGTTTCACCATAATTTGGGAATTTAGAAACTAAGAGGTTAAAAATTTATGGATCTGAGGGTACAGTGCTCGCCTAGCACGTGTGAGATGCTAGGTTAGATCCTCAGCACCACATAAAAATAAAATACAGGTTATTGTGTCCAAATACAACACACACACACACACACACACACACACATATATATAAATATAAATTTATGGATCTGAATCTGGAAGCAGAGTATGAACAGTGAAATCCTCAGTGCTTAGGCCCAATAGAAGTACATTTGTAAATCATCTAGAATAGGGGCTTTCTATCGTGGCTGCATACTAGAATCACCTGAGTCAATTTAAAAACATCAGCAATGCCTAATCCAGCCCCAGGTGGGGCACAAGCATCTGCAATTGTAAAAAGCTCTATTCTCTTTCTTGTTTTCTTCTTTTTGGTGTGTGCTGGGGATTTAATCCAGGCTTTCCAGTATTCTTAGCACTCGAGCTACATCTCCAGGCCTCCCAAAGTCTATTCTAATTTACAAGGAAGGTGGAGGCAGCAGCAATGTGTAGAAGGAATTTCCAATGACATATCATTCTAGGTAGTAAAACGGTCAAGCAAAGCAATACAAATTGTGCAAAGTTGCTAACATATATCAACAGGCAGAAAAGAGAGAAAATAAACTTCAGTAAGGACTATGTGCAAGATTAGGAGACTGCAACTTGAGAGAAAGTAAGAAAGACTATAAAATGATACACATGAGAGTTATTATAGGGGATCTCTGAACCCTTTGATTCCATGATGGTTGTATCTAAAATACTCCACAATCCTGGACTTCTTTAGGAAGGGTATGGAGAATAACACTGAAAACTTTTTTACTCCTGTATAAAAGCACAGAAAATATGCACCTTTGAAACTGCACACAAGTCTGATTGTTAGGTATAGGAAAAATATAACAAAGATGGGCAATCAAAACAAATAAGGGAAAAGGGGGCTGAGGTTCTGGCTCAATGGTAGAACACTTGCCTGGCACATGTGAGGCACTAGGTTCAATCCTCAGCACAATATAAAATAAATAAAAGTTTAAAAAATATTAAAAATAAGGGAAAAGAGGTACTTTCCTTGCACTTAAGCTACATGGGAATTGTTTTACAGGGTAGCCTTGAAAGTGACATCACAAATGCTGCCATAGGGATCACTATTTCAAGAGAGAAAAGGGATATTTTTGACCCATGGACCTAACAGCTCAGATAATCTAGGACCTGGCTAAATTTGAAGATGAGACTCTTCTCCTCTTTCTTGATAATTCAACTACTGGCAATTATGTGGAGACAGTAATTTTTACAAATAGTCTATAAATTGAACCCTCCCACATACTTCCCCACTCACATTTTTGTGAACACAGTATTGTTTTTGCACATTCAATTCTCCTACTTAGAAGTCCTAAGAATTAGACTCTGAATTTTACAATTTAGCTGACCATAAGACAATTTCATTCAAAAGGTACAATTTTACCAGGTTCTAAAGACCTTTTTTAAAATTTTTAGTTGTAAATGGGCATAATAACTATTTTATTTATTTTTTTAATGTGGTGTGAAGATGGAAACCAATGCCTCACACATGCTAGGCAAGCTCTCTGCCACTGAGTCACACAACCTCAGCCCATAAAAATCTTATACCACATAACCTTAGAAGTACTTGCGGTGGGATTAATGAACTAAATCATATAAAGGCTAATGTAGTAATAATATTAAACCCGATTTTTAGATCATTGTATACAAATTCCTACTGGTAAGAAATATGTTCACAAAAAAGACAGGCTTTAAAAATTATTTTAAATGTCCAGGTAATGAGAGATTATGTCCAGATTCAATTCCTTCCAGATTCACTTCATTCAACTTCACGGAATGAGAAAATTTGTTTAACATTCATTTGAAGTATTAATGCATACATGTGTATGTATGTATGTATATATATATATATATATATATATATATATATATATATATATATATCAGCAGCAAGGGCAATGGATGATAGCTCAGAGCACTTGCCTAGCATATGAGGCCCTGGGGTCCATTCCCAGCCCTGAAGGGAAAAAGAAAAAGTAATGGCAAGGTACAGTAAATATACAACACTATATTATTTCTATATTTGTTATCCCAACTCTAAACTCAAAGTAACGGACCAAGCCACCTTTTGCCTGGAAATTGAAGTATATCACTAAAATTGAATGAGGTAAAAAAATTTAAATAGGGCTGGGGTTGTGGCTCAGTGGCAAAGTGCTTGCCTCGCACATGTGATGTGCTGGGTTCGATCCTCAGCACCACATAAAAATAAATAAACAAAATAAAGATAGTGTGTCCATCTATAGCTAAAAAAATTAAATAACTGAATTATGAGTCTTAATATTTATAGAACTGCCAAACCAAATAATACATATCACTTTGCAATCTACAAAGTTCATTTGTATTACTTCATTTAGCAATCCTATGAAGTACACATTTTTATATTCACCAATGAATAAACTGAAGCTAAATATAACTTTCCCAGATCACAGAGAAAAATAGTAAGTGATAAAGCCAGGAATTAACTGTACATTAAAAAGCAACTAATTTTGAAATATTAAAGTATTAAGAAAAAACTAATAGGAACACAAATTTGCAATCAGGGAACCACACACACACAAAGGTAGATCACAGAATTTTGCCTAAAACAGCAACAGCCAAAGTCCTAAGGATAAGTACTTTCAGAAGACACCCCCCCACACACACACACACAAAGCCAAACCAATATCTTAAAACACAATAAAAATTAGGGACAATTTTCTACCATTTAAAGGTGTCTAGAATAGAATGGCTATGTGGAAAAACAGCAAATTCCCCATTACAGTGTATGGTCCAGTTGTAGAACCTGCCCAGAATTTTCTAGTTGGGATACTGACTTCTGAACTAAATTTAAGATTACTCCAGCTCTCAAATTCTATGATAATGTGGCTTTCAGTCTCAGTGGCTTTTTCTGCATTTGTTTCTTGGAATAATAAACTCTACACTGAGAAATCATGTGCAGATTTAAAAAATAAGAAGGAAAAGGTGACATGTCAGGAGCAAAGTTTCTTATGCTCATCTGGCTGAAATATTCAAACAAACTTTATTTTAAAACAATTCTGTATAAAAGTGTGAAACATGTCTCTTGTCAATATAATACTACAACCTTAGCATAGTGCTATACAGAGAAATGTAACTCAGTAAATGTACATATACACACATTTATATAGTGTATATACATGTACATTTATATAATGTATATATTAATGCATACATGTATAAATGTATAAAATAAATATATGTAGAGTTTACTGTGCACCTACATAAGTTATTTGTTCTATTTTAATTCATGCAGCTAGGCTCCCAGTAGGAGATGAAATTGACCTTCTAGCAAAAACATTCCATTGTCTCATTGACCCCTTCAGGAAAATGCTGACACCATGAGGGCATTTCTAGTCAAGCTAGTGCTTTGTGGAAGTCTTAACATGTGATGTTTTTGATTGTGAATATGAAAGGGGCAGCAAGGATGTAAACTATGCTGTAAACTAGGGTTCTAGAAGGGTTAAGGCTTTTTTGCATGATATTTTTGAAGTAGGAAATGCTGTAAATTCCGACAACTTTCCATAATTTTAAAACATTTTCCAAAACTCAATATACAAATGTTTTTAGTGGGTATACAGACAACATATTAGAACACATGCTCTTTCCAACATATTGGAATACATGCTGGTTAATTTCAATCCTTGATAATCTACTATCAGAGGGCCTAAGGTGTCAATAAGCACTACAAGTTAGTGCAAACTCTGAGTGAACCAAACCTAGACGCAGAAGGTATAGTCTTTTTTCCCTACGGAACAATGAAAGTGTATTTCTTTCTGATATATTCTTTGGAAAGTTGATTCAAAGTCTTGTTTAGTACCATATAGCCTCCCAATCTCAATCTAAATTAACTTCTTAATTGCAAATGAAAAAAGGATTTAAAAAAAAACACAATAAAACCGTTTATTCACGCTCATAGCAGAGGTAATTACTGAGGACAGGCTTAAAACACCCTCCCGTGAGCAAGAAATACTCTGGCTCAGGTAGGAGCGCACTATCCCGAATCAAACAACGCACTGCCACGTTTGATTAATGTGTTTTTGTTGTTTGTTCGTTTTTGTTTTTTTTTTTTTTTTTTTTTTTTTAGGAGGGAAAAACTTTCTGACGATGGGATCTGTTGAGATGAAAGCACTCCTAAGTACTGCTCAGCCGAGGGATTGCAAAATGTCCCAGGAAGGTGACATCTTATCAAAGTCATGTGCTACAGCAAGGCAAATCAGGAGGTACAGAGAGCCAAGTTTCTTCCCAACTTTAAACCCCCCACCCACAGCTCCTTCCTTCCTGGACTTTGACCAGAAGGGTGTGAACGCCTCGGGCTGGGAAAAAACTCAAAACTTTCCAAGGCTGGAAGCGCTGCCCCTGCCGCAGTGGCGGCGCGGGTGCGCGGGGTCTGGGTCTCCCGCACATCCCCCGTAGCTGAGCATCCGTTCGGCCGGTCGCACGGTTGTCCTCCGTCCTCCAACGGCGGGGCTCGGGGCCAACGGCGGAGTCCGGGGTTCCAGCCGCGCGGGCCCCACCCGCCTGGGCAGTGCCCGTTAGCTCACTCGCGCCCAGCCCGCGGGACTTTGGCCGTTGGCAGCGACAGTTTGGCCGTTGGCAGCGGGACTTCAACCACTGGCAGGTCTGGACAGTCGTTTCCCCTCCCGCCCCCTGCTCGGGACTCCCGGAGTTCCATCCCAGGGGATTCCCGCGGGGGTGAAGGAAGGACCGGACCGCGCGTGGCGACTCCGGAGAAAAGTTTTGTGGAACTCATGCCGCTGCTCCTTCAGCCTCTAGGGCCCTGGGAAGCCCACCTCCCGTGATGGCCCGAGTTAACCTGAGAGCCACCGGCCAGCTCACCCATACGTTCTCGAAGTCCCCGCAAGGATGTGCTGCCGCTGGGGCCGGCGACAGTGTGGTCCGCCATCTTCGGAGGCGAGATGGGACCCACTGGTGACTCTGGAACGGCAATGCGCAGGCGCTGCCGTAGCCTCCGAGGGGACCGCGGCCTGGACCCCGGGGGGCGGGGCGGGGCGGGGCCCGGAGAGCCACCGCGCCGCCGTGGAACCCTCAATCTAGGCAGCGCGGCTCTTCACACATCAGGTCTCCTCACCGACTGGGCAGTGACTAATTTATCTGAAGAAACCCTCTCCTATTTTCGTGCTGTACTCCTGCGCATCCTGGGTGCTAGCTAATCAGTAGCCTACTTGTCCATCCAACATTCCTGTTCTCCTTTTTTCATCTCTACCTAGCAACGCATTAACATTCCATCCTTCCCCATCCATTCATTTACGGAGTGCCTCCACCGAGCACTTGTATCACCAGTTTACTAGTCTTTGAACCACAAAGGCCTGAGTTGAGGGAAGAGGCCCAGGGACAGGATGGGAGGATACGTTGCTGTGAGGTGCTAGGGGCTCCATTGTGAGGAGAGACTATCTTACCTGGTTGCAGACCAAATGATGACGCCATTGGGCCTCAAAGTTGAGTGAAAAATCATTGGGATATGTGTGTACCTTTAAAGTAAAACGGAGCACTTATTGGCATGAATCTCCAGATTTGGAGGGAGGCTTTTGAGGTTGCAGAATATTTTTCCCATTCACAGGACAAACTAAGTTGGCTTGAAGAACATGATTTCATGGACACTTGCTTATACAAGATGCATTCACCCCTGGCATTAATGTATTATTACTGTGTGTTATGACACATGGTTGAAAGGAAAGGGTTTATGGTTGGGGCTTCAGGAGACCCTCAAAATGGAGCAGGAGACCACTTAAAGGACAGCACTTGAATAAGCCCACTGAGTCTCAGAATGAATCAGACATCAAAATGACATGGCACATTACTATCTTGTGTGTATATATATGATTACACAACCAATGTAAGTCTATATCCTGTATAATCAGAAGAATAAGAAGTTATACTCCATGTATGTATAATATGTCAAAATATATTCTACTATGATGTATAGCTAATAAGAACAAATAAAAAAGCATGGAAGCTATAAAATGGAAGAAGCTAAAATACCAAACACTTATTGTTATTATGTGCCATGTACTGTTCTCTTTCTTTCTTTCTTTCTTTCTTTCTTTCTTTCTTTCTTTCTTTCTTTCTTTCTTTCTTTCTTTCTTTCTTTCTTTTTTTTTTGTACCAGGAATTGAATCCAGGGTTACTTAAACTCTAAGCACATCCCTAGCCATTTTAATATTTTATTTAGACACAGAGTCGTACTAAGTTGCTCAGGGCCTTGTTAAGTTGCTAAGGCTGGCTTGGAATTTGGGATCCTCCTGTTTCAGCCTCCTGAGCCACTGGGATTACAGTGTGTGTGCCACCACACCCAGATCCATGTACTGTTCTTACTTCACTACATGTATTAACTCATTTAATCCCCCTCCTAACCTATGGCGTATGTACCATTATCAACCTCATTTTTACATAAAGCAGAGAGATGTTAAATCTTTTGTCCAGAGTCACACATAAGTGACAAAACTGGAATCTGAACAAAATGTTTCACTACAGTATTCATGTGCTTATGCCTTCTGTGATACTGGTTCATGAGAGTTGAGACATAGAAAATGTATAAATGATTAGTATTCAGAATTCAAAGATCTAAAAGTATGTAAGATAAAACAACTTCCAAAAAATTGGCAAAAGGCATAAACACACCTCTCAATAGAAAACACAAATAGCCAATACATATTGAAAAATGCTCAGTCTTTAGTAGTCAATACAAACAAAAAGCACCAAAAAATATCATGTTACACCTACAGATTTGGCACAAATTAACGACTGAACAATAAGTATTGGTGAGGAAATAATCAACAACACTAGAAGCCCTGCTTCTAAGTAAATACAGTGATCATGGTGCCATGATTATTATTATGACACACCTGTGATTAGGGCACCAGCAAAGTACATACACATACACAAACCCAAATTCAACTTTGATGAATTGGGTTTTAATTCATTGGAAACTTCACAAATAGAAAATCTAGAAAACAACATCACCATTGTGGCTTCTTGTAAAAATGTGGAACTCAAATCTAGAAATGATAGAATATTTGGACAAAGTGAGGCTGTAACTTAATCTACAAAACAATGGTCCTAGATACTTCAAAATGTTAGTGTCATGAAAGACTGAAACATCAAGAAAGTGTTCTAGTTTGGAAGAGTCTAAAGAGACCAAATGCAGCGCATGATCCTTGAATAGAATCTGAATTTAAAAATAACTCTAAATGACATTCATTATTGGGATAGTTGGAAGATTTTGAATACAAACGGTATAATAGATAATACTGCATAAAGGTCAAATTTCTTGGGTGTGGGGCTGGGGTTGTGGCTCAGTGGTAGAGTGCTTGCCCAGCATGTGTGAGGCACTGGGTTTGATTCTCAGCACCACATAAAAATAAATAACACAAAACATTGACAACTAAACAATATTTTTTAAAAAAGAATTTGGAGGTGAAGCCTCATAATATTCGAAACACACTGATGAGGAGGAGTTCGGGGAGAAAGCCAGATAAGAGCAAATACCAAAAAATATTAAAAATCTGGACAGTCACATGAGTTCATTTTGCCATTCTTTCAACTATTCCATAGGTTTTTCTTTTTCATTTCTTAATCTTGAAAGTTTGTCTTCAGCTTACTTGGAAACATAAAATTGATTGGGAACTACATATAGGGAAGCACCCTACACAATCTTTTCAGTATTCAGAGTCTGTTAAAACTTTAGCCTGGGTGTGAGAGAGGGAGGGGAGATAGGACATCCACAAACAAAAGTACAAGGAGCTGGCTAACTAATTATGATAGGTTCTAAGAGTTGAGAAGGATGAGACATTAGTCCTGTTTGAGATGTCAAGGGAAGAAGTATCACTTATTTTGGACTTGAGATGGGGGCTTAGGGAACCAGATAGTCCTTGTTTTACTTTCAAAAGACCAGTACGCCTTCACCACAGCACACAGTTCCTGAGTGGGGAGATGGGTCCATTTGGGATCAGAGCTCTCTATTTTTAAAAAATAAGCTTGGAATCTGGATTTTAATGTAAAACCTCTTACTTTAAAATGATGATAACATTTAAAGTTAAAAAATACTCTGTAGGGTTAACAAAAATATCAAATATCTAGCCAGTGTTCACATTTCCCAATTATTTCACTATTTGCTGCTTGAATAAAAATCCAAATCAGGGGCTGGGGTTGTGGCTCAGTGGTAGAGCACTTGCCTAGTATGTGTGAGGTACTGGGTTTGATCCTCAGCACCACATAAAACTAAATAAATAAAATAAAGGTCCATCAACAACTAACTTTTTAAAAATCCAAATTAAGTCCATAAATTACCTTAATTGATATGCTTTTAAGCACATTTTAACGTATAGGTAACCCTTCTTTCTCTCTAACATCTTTGATGGATTACTATGTAATTTAGTATTCATCATTTCATTCTGTAGGTAAGTCATCCAATTAAACTTTTACTGCCCACCTACTCTGTGTCTGGCACAGATCAAAAGACAGAGAAGGAAGTCCTGCACCTGGCCTACACATCTCATTGACTCTAAGCTAATGATTCATATCTGAGTATCTTTAGATATTTCCTTGGGCCTAGAGCAGCTCCATAAGGACCCCCTGCCAGACTGTCTGTACATTTCTCAGAATAACATGGAAGGTAAGGCTCCCAGCTTAGGGAGAGTGGCATCTATTCAGGAGCTAAAACAGATTCAGAACTGGGAAAGAATATAGGCAGCTCCTCCTCTCCCTCTCCTCTCCTCTAGTCTCCTCCTGGTATCTGAGAAGTGTTCCCTAAGGAGGGCAGAAGAGAACAAGAATCCAGTTCACTTATTTCTCTCCTACTTGGCTCATTTTCCCCTTTAGAACTTACACCAGGGCTGGGGTTGTGGCTCAGTGGTAGAGTGCTTGCCAGGCATGTGTGAGGCACTAGGTTTGATTCTCAGCATCACATATAAATAAATAAAATAAAGATCATCTACAACGAAAAAAAAAATTTAAAAAAACTTTACACCAACAGGAAAAATATTCAGAAACCACAGTCATAACAGGTCTAGGGATTGTCAAATATTTTTCTATTAAAAGTAAAATTTATAAAAATTTAATTTACGTCTAATAAAAATTCAGAGAACTTTCCAGTCCAACACATTTGTTGTATTAAAGCTGCCACCACCTCAACACTGTACTGAGTTGTAAGCTTCCCAGCTATGTGGGAGCTCTTTTTCCCCTGTCCTGAGCTACCTGTCAGATTCATCCATTACACCCAGTTTAGCTAGAGCTCTGGTTTTGTTATTTTTTCTGCTTTCATCTCAACTCTTGCCCTGAATCTATTGCCTCTTAAGGAACAGACCTACCTCAGAGCTAGTTCATTTCTCAGTTTGCTCATGGAAGCCTTCTCAGATGTATAATTCTTACCACAACTGCAGCAACTCCTCCCAAATGACACTTTGGCATCCCTCCTTCTTTTTGCAGAGATTGAGAGGGTGGGGAATGATAAAAAGGATAGAACAGGACACCTCACTCTTGAACTTCCACAGGCTGTCCTGTGCCATCTTCTTTTAGGGAGCCTCTGGTCTTTCTTGGGGTAGGGGCCTGATTTTCATTGTCTGGGCTCACTAGGATGGGAGGTGTGAGCTTCTGAGGGGATGAAGAAGATGCTGGGTATGGTGGCATCCTAGTGGCTTGGGAGGCTGACACAAGAAGATCCCGAGTTCAAAGCCAGCTTCAGCAAAAGTGAGATGCTAAGCAACTCATTGAGACTTTGTCTCTAAATAAAATACAAAATAGGGCTGGGGATGTGGCTCAGTGTCCAAGTGCCCTTGAGTCCAATCCCAGGTACCACCCCCACCCCCACCAAAAAAAAAAAAAAAAGAAAAGAAAGAAAAAAAGAAGAGACAATTTCCATTCAAACTGGAAATTCACAAAAAGCTCTTGGAGGAAGGATGGGGCAGTGGTGGTGATTTGCTTGGAGTGGTAGGTAAGTCTTGGATCCTTACTGGTAGATAGTGAGAGCTGTCATTTGTCAATGATGACTCAATGACAGACACAGTGATGAAGGTCTGACTGGGATTGTTTCTTGTAATTCTCACCACAACTTTATGAGCTAGCTTCTATGATCATTCCCATTTTACAGATGAGAAAGCAGGCACAGGGGGATAAGTAACTTGCTGAAGGTTAGTATAGAGTCAGGAAGGAGCAGAGTGAGTACATTTGACTCTAGGGCTCATATCCTCTTCCTGGCACCTCTCAGTTTCCTATTTGATGAGCTGTAGTACACTCTTAATTTACAACCCATGTCATCCCTTCTTCCTTGATCCAATCCTCACACCCTGGTGATGGAGCCTTTACATAGTTGTACTTTCTCATTGGCAAAGTTTTATCACAACTATATTGCCCAACCTAAGTATCAGCATAGCTGCCTCTAATGCCTTTAATGGAATTGACTCAAACTATTGGATAAGAAACCATTTAAAATGTGAGTTTAATACATGTCTGGCAGTGGACATAGATATGATTCCTCTTAAGTAGTTCTTTCTAGAAAGGCTCAACCCCCAAGTTATTGATTTCAAAAATACATGTGTAGGAGGAGCTGGGGATGTGGCTCAAGCGGTAGCGCGCTCGCCTGGCATGCGTGTGGCCCAGGTTCGATCCTCAGCACCACATACAAAAAAAAAAAAAACAAAAAACAAAGATGTTGTGCCCGCCGAAAAAATAAAAAATAAATAAATAAATATATATATATATATATATATATATATATATATATATATATATATAAAATACATGTGTAGGAATGGGGCTGTAGCTCAGTGGCAG